CAGACTACGAGGCGATCTGATTATGGCATATTTGCTTCTGCAAGACCCACATCATGTGTGCCGTCCTTTACTGCAACTCAGCAGCAATACAAACCTGAGAAGCCACTCATTGAAACTCGCTGTACAGTATAGCCGTCTAGAGTGCCGCAGAAATTTCTTTTCCATCCGCGTCTGTCACCAGTGGAATGCTCTCCCTGAATCAGTCGCCTCTGCACTGACACTAACAGTATTTAAAAGACGGTTGGATGAGGCATTCAGCTACTTACACTGCCACTTTGCGTTACGCGTCCATCCTACATCCGGAGTTTACCATAGATGTATTTGATGTTAACTGTGAGTGCTGTGAATTTCAGCGGATTGCAGGACCACAGCGGAATAAATGATAAGGCCTTATTTTCATATTCAAAGTACTGATGAGCCCCAATAGGGCGAAGCGGCCGTCTGGTGCTTTTCCGGATAGCTGGTCGACATATCTGAATTGTCAGCTGATTGCGCAGAACCAAAAGTACTAGCTGTTTTACTGTTATTATTATTTCGATATGCCCACCAACTATCTAAGGGGACTTGGAAAGCAACGCTTCTTAACCCGTATAAATTCATTGTTCATTGTACAGGCATTCTCTGTACATTCAACGCTCCCAAACTCTGTCTATTTGAACGACCATAGAACTGCCGTTGCATCTAGTCGAACCCAAGCAACTGGTCTCAGCCAGCACACGTTGTATTTGCCAATTCGTCTGTAGTTGCAAAAGCAGTTACATTGGCAGAATAGATCAGTGTCAGGGTAAGCGGATGGGCGAACATAATCCGAAACGCAACAGTCAACCGGACAACGAGCTGAAAGCAAATTACCGGCTTCATCCATGGCTAGGCCACGAATCGGTACAGGTCATAAAGTGGACTCAAACTCAACGTTTACAGTTGTCTATCGAGACGAAAACGTCAGGATGCTAAAATTTGTCGCGGTCGTGACCGTTAGTTGGCGTCGTCCTTATAACTGTGTACAGAAGCAACTGACAGTAGCCCCAAAGCTTTCTTGGGGTTCATTACCTTTGTAGGACTAGTAAATGCTAGTCCGAGACGGTGCGCGTAACCAAGCGCGCATATTAGAAGGCAATTGAAGTCTGCCACAGCGGATTGTATTCGATGGGCTACAAAAGACGCGGACGGATGAAGCGAGATAGGAGCAAACGTTACCGCAACAAGTTACAGAGCAGACGAGTGTCGAGCCGGATGTAAGGAAGATTAAACCAAGAAAGAATAATGTGCAATTTGTCAGCGATGAAATTGTATATAAAAGATAGCAGTTATCTTTTGGGGCGCTACACCTTTGGCACAATTTTGCCATCTATTGATTTGTATCGGTGTGCATTCTTTCCTGAACCAGTTCTTGGCAGTTAGAGTCCGGGTCAGGTGAACGCAACTCATATCAAAATGACGGTTGACGTCATTACAGGAGCAAAGAAATCGGCGCGCGGTAAGTCTGTCGCAGAGTATCCAATCCACGTGCGATCATAACCCAAACGGTGCGGATAATGAAGCGACAAGTGAGAAGAATTATCAGGGACTCCAAAATAGACGAACGGAAAACTCAAGCCAGGTTTTAAAGACCGCAATCGGTGCGGATCAGTTAGTCAAAAGGGAGTGGAACAATGGAGTAACCTCGCACTGCTGGCGGCAATGCCATGACAAACTGGCTATCAAAATGTTGCAAATACCAGAGATCGGTGGCAGACCCCTACACAAGTCGATGACTGCATTCAAATAGCACCTGAAATCTGTGCTTGGCTCAGATCAGTTGATCAACCATGATGGGAACAGCGGCGAATGCGGTACCCCCAATTTACCTCGCTGAAAATGCTACCGATTGTAAAAAAAACAAATATCAAAGTGGATTGGATAACAGAGCGTAGGCATCAGTTGTGGTGACTAAGTAAAAGCGAGAATGAACGCTACAGCACCAATAGTTTTGTGACTGTTACCTCCGAATCGATCGGTTCAGCTTGAGATGTTTCTTCATATCTTACACAGTAGCACTGAGTAGCAAGCTTGCGGTTTCACCCAACCAGGAGCAGTCATTACAAACAGTGCACGAAGAGATAGTTGAAAAGAAAAAAACATACGTGACCAACGCATGTCACCTGATTGAAACAGACATTATAACATAGCACCAGGAGATCAGTTGCCAAACACACTCCTAGAAGCAACACTTCACAAGTATAGACGATAAGGCGCGTGATCCAGGCAGTAACGCATGCTGTGCATCAGTATCGTACACCCCACTCCACACCAATAAGCTTATCTCAAATCGTCTCCGTAAGTGACTGAGGCTTGGAACGCCATACGAGCTTTACCGGTGAATTCACAATCATTACACATCCATTGATCGACCATGTAGATTGGCTAAATGCGTAAGGATAATTGTTGGTGATGCAGAACCACAACAATCTTCCAGAACAGTTTGTTAGAACGTCATGTTGAAGACAGGTCCCATTTACGAGTACATTGATCAATTGTGTATGGATAAATGGTCGTTACCACACAAAACGCCATATCATCGATGCAATGCTCGTCAGAACTAACCTCCGTTCTCAAAGTGGTGAGTGTTCTGGAAATTCTCTTGCTAAACCAGTGAACTCTGAAAGAGGCCTCGCTTGTTAACTAACAACGGTTGTACCACAATGGGCGATTTCAACCTCTGATGTGAAAATCGACCACATTGCGTAGAAATGTGTCCAAATGCACTCGTCTTAAGCCCAACCTCTACAGACAAATATAGGCGATAAAGATCACCAGCTTTACTATGTGTGACCTGTTCCAAACGCTTGTCCAAGTGACTCAGCTGGCCTCAAAAAACCCTCGGATGGATCAAGTCTGAGATGATTGTCAAATGCCAGGTGAGAGTATACAGTGGTGTTCAAAGTATGAGACAGTAAAATTCGGATGCCTGATGAGGACTTTAGTGAAAGACTAAAGGGGTTTGATACAAACCGATGTTGGTGAAGACAATGAGGGTGCCTCCAGCCGGTAGTCGTGAACGAACTCTTCACCTTACATTTTAGCTTATCCGTATTCAGCCCGTGTACTCGAGGCGAGAGATGCAGAATGTGGTGTACATATGTGCATAAACAAAAGTCTAAATCTCGTGATGAATAAGAGGTAAAGAGGGTCGTAATGTAATTGATCCGATTCAGTCGCACAAGAGAATAGTAAGCAAACGCGGCCGGCATCCTCTTGACAAGCACTGTTTGCTACACGATATAAGCCAACCGCGAGCAACAGTTTGATCGATACCTCCCATATCCGAAGAAGCCAGTGTGTTGCAGCGATTTCGTCGGGTGTTCGGTAGTTAGTGTGAAGTAAGAAAAGGCTGAATAGGAGGGGGGTTTGTCAGATTATCATGGCAAGCAGCCGATCACAGCACGGCAAGATAAAGGGAGTAAAAAGCAAAAGATCGAAGGAAGATGAGCGTAATAACAGCCACACCAGCGTTTTTCATTAAGGGTGCTACATTTGGGGGTAGAAGTACAATAGCAAGAAGAATAAGGAAGTAGTATGTCCGAGAACTAATGGTAAAGAGAGAGAACCAATGATGTGAGAACTATCTGCTACACTTCGCGATGCCGCAACGGGAGTGGTTTCTGACACCAAGACTGTCTGTGCTTGCAGACCGATCGATAACGAGACGGTCACGGAACACACACACACATTGATCGGTTGTCAACAATAGCAAGCCAGACCATTTGAGAGACCTGCGATAGCACATGCAAGTAAAAACTCGGAGACGATGTGTTGTGTGCCACCAAGCTGATTCACATGCGCTAGGAGTGATTGCTGAAAGCATCATTAAACGATCACCGTTATCATTATACACGTTAAGAAGAGGTGGAAAACACCGCAGCTATTGTGTTGCAATACATAAGGAAAGAAGAAAATCACGCAGTAGAGGCACGGCGGATGGACATCGTTCCAGAGGGCTAACAGCCGGCTATTGTGTCGCAAAAAGGAGATATATTATGTCACTGAGGTCGGTTCCTTGTTATGTCGGCAAGTGTATCCAGTGAAAAGTGTTCATGGTCTTACGAACCCCAAACAGGGAGCCGAGAGGCTTCAATCAAGGCCAAGTTCGAAGTAAGAAACTTCATTCCTCTTGACCAAGCCATCGCTTGGTCACCCGTCCTCTTCTTCCATCCGCACCCCGGGGCACAAAGAACGCACGTCGTGGGAATCGGTGGGCTGGCACGCTCTTTAAACGATTCGCGGATCGGACACGCAACACATGGATGGAAGAAATTGCGTGACCCGAATAGGGTGAAATTGAGATAACAGCACTCAGTTTCACTAATAAGAGTCACAATAACTCCGCTGACTGAAGGGTGAAGTTAAAGGCAAGAAGATTGAACAGAAAACAGGCTTTCTGTTCAATCTCGCGGTTCATCTAGAACTGATAAGAGGTAGCAGTTGGTGAAATTATTCGCATTATACCCACTGACGACTAAACGAACCCAGAAATGTATCTGAATGAGACCAACCGAACAGCAGATGGAGTAGCAGGAGGATAGTATAATCAAGAATTACGGCCGGTGACGGAGAAATCACCTACAAAAGACAAATGTAGATGACATTTGTTAAAGCAATAGAACGCCTTGTTAGTCGCTAGTAGATGAACGGAGGTCCTCCAAAACGAACCAAACTGATGTCCATGGCTGCTGGCATTTCACCAGAGAACCGATAGTGAACGTATCGCTGGGCTGCGTTAGTAGAAAGACCACGATTTCCTAGGCCATCGTGACAGACATAGCGGTGGGTTATGTGAAGTTAACAAGATCAGTCACTCACGCAGGCGGTCCATATTGCAATGCCAATTGACTAGGGAATGTGATCATTCAGGACACCGTCAGAACGCTAAGGAAACCACTCTTACCATCGACCAACCAGCCTGATGTGAAATGGTGGACAAAGATAAGTTGAGCTAGTACAACGCAGCGGATCTCACCGAGCTGCGCTTAATTTTGGTTCACCGGGGTTTTTATGCAGTCAACAGAGAACGGACTGCCACAAACGAAGACTAAATGGAAGATAACTAAAATGTCGCAGCATTTCAAGCCTGGTTAGCGTGAAGAAGAATACGTGGCGAATAATGCGATTTGTAGTTAGTTATGATTACAAAGGGAAATGGGCTAAAATGAATATGGACTAAGACGGTTCTGAAAAGCAGTTGATAAAAAGGTGACAATAGAAAAAAATGACAGGACAAAAAAGGGCAGAATGCTGATAATGCCTCAGCCAACCGAGAAAAGTGACAATGAACAAAGCGGCTTCTGGTGGGTAAAGGTAACGGCGAGATATTGAACAGTTGTGTGGAGCCATAATGCATTAGATCCACTATCCTTCCTTACTTGGTGAAGGATTGAACGTAGGCCCAGGTCCATTTGCTGAACTTGTTGCTCCGTTATTTGAAATAGCGCCTGGCGTGGATGCAGTGGTGAACGAATTCGTGTACGGGTCATCAGCGCTGAGAAGTGGTTGAATTTCGAGTAAACTGTCCGTACTCACGTGAAACAGACTAGAAAAGAAGTCACGAATCGTGATTATACACAACAGAATGGAATGAACGATGAGGGCAAGTGATATGCAGCCGACCAGGGTGATCATGATGTGGTGCACGTTGGAGAAGTCTTCGTAACCCTTAGGCAAAAGGGGGTAACCGGCGATCAATGCAGTGGGAGTGGATGGAGCAGAGAGATTCTTGTCCGCTAACCCAAAAGTGTACGCGAGAAGCATTATTAGGGCGGCCACAGAAAGATAAAAGAAATAGAACAGTATAACGTAGATGAAATGACAGAAGTAGAAGGGCACACTTGTCAGGCACAAATCCAAGAGAACAAGGCAACCAGGAATGCTGTTCTTCAACTGTTGTTCCAAAGCTGAAATAAGAAGAAATAAATTCAGTGTTCGGAAATGAATGAAAAAAGCAACACAGTGATACGCCCTTGTTTTTAAATTGTTTTAAAGATAAGAAAAAATATCATATGTAAAACAGATTGCACACAGCCAAGCTGTAAAAGCTGAGCAGATAAATCAATATCAGACAAGATGCTTGTAAAGGAACAATGGAACGATGGTATAATACGGATAAAAAAGTCAAGATTTGACAGATCGAGTGAAATCGTATGTGTGAAATCAAAATGCGTCACACGATGAAAGTTCGCATTCTTCGTCCTTACCGATTTCAATGCACAGTTCGATCGCCTGTTGCTATGCGAACGTCATCTTGGTGGCCGTCATGCTCTTGAGGAACCGCTCCGATAACGGAGATAGATTTCGCACGCTATGTGAGGACGACTGGCTCTTTCAGGCGAGCACAAACATCAGACGTGCGAGGAGACGCGCTGCCATTTGGCGTCCCCCTTCACCAATAAAAGCGTGGTCACAAATTGATCGCATTGTAATCAGTTTCCGATGACTTGGCAGTGTACTGGATTTCACACCGATTTGGTTCACCTACCTAGACTAAAGTCACGCTCTGGTCTGTGCGGATATCTTCATGCGCTTCGGTAGTTCCTCGAAACCAAAGCACCGTAGGCTTGATACCAACAAGCTAGCTAACCCCTCCACTCAAATGGCCTATCAATCATCCTTATCAAATGCGCTCACTCGTGCTCCATTTACAAATATCGAACACCACCAGAATTTCTTGCAGACCTCGCTTTTCTCAGGTCAACCATACTGTGGAATCGTTGAGCATCCACTGAGAGGCTGGAGCTCTGCTGGCTCCTTGAAATGGTTTGACCGTCGACGAGCTATCCAAGTTGGTTCGAACTGCGATGAACTCCGCCGCAACCTCAGCCAACAGCTCAAGCAAATCCTGCGTAACGATCGCAAAACTTGATGGTCAGCGAACTTCGGAGAAGGATACAGCAGCTCCTCCGGAAATGTACGCAAACTTGCCAGATCATTCGGACCACTGTCTACAGAAGATATGGAGTAAGCGCATCGATTGCTGGGCTAAGCACTTCCATTCTCAATTCAGTTGGTCTCCATCTTCTGATTATTTATTAAGTATGCTCAATTGCGTGGCTTGAAACGTTTCACTGGAACCATTCATCGAAGCGGAGATCAATCTTGTACTTCGTCACTTGAAGCGGTTCAAAGTTGCGGGTTTGGAGTTACTCCGGAGCTTCTCACGTACGGTGGCGAGGCAAATGTCAACAAGTTAACAGCTCTGTTCACTATAATTTAATGGGAAGAGAAGGTTTCATTCACTTGGGGCGAATCGATGATGGCACTCATCTGCAAAAAGGGTGTTCGTACCGTATGTGTCAAAAACAGAGGAATCTAATTTCCGCCGCCCCTAATAAATTGCTAACATCCATTCTATAGCGCAGGATAACACATGTTGAGAAGTACGCTCTCGTGAGGAACAACCTGGTTTCCACCCCGGTCGAGGGTATGTGGACCACACGTTTACGTCCCACCAACTTCTCGAGCAGCGCCACCTTTATCGCCAGCCTACTATTGCCGCCTTTTTGGACATACGAGCTGCGTTCGACTCGGTCGATCGGTTTGTTATATGTCATTGTCTACAAAGGAATGGGGTACTTGAAACGCACACCGCCATACTTTGAACTTTATAGAACAATGTCTCTGGCAGAATGGGGGCTTACAGTAAGCTCTCTTCACCTCTCGCCGTCACTAGCGGTGTGCGACGGGGATGATCCTATCTCTGTTTCTCGTCAACATTGCGATTGCGGATGTCCTACTAAGTGCTCTGTAATGTCTCCAGGGTTCTAGCGTAGAGCTCCTTCCAGGTAACTGCGCGACTGACTTGGACTGCGCGGATGGTATTTCCTGGCTCCGTGAGGACCCACAGATCACGCAGGTGGTTCTAAACCATTTGGCGATTGAAGCTATCAAGGATGACATGACATTCGCCCCACCAAAGTGTGACATCCTACTCCAGGATTGGCATGCAGCTGCCGACAAGCTGGTTCCTAAAGGTGTGCAGTTTGAACAAGTAGATAGCTTCATCTACCTTGGGAGCTGCGTTTCTTGTGATGGCACCACTGGATGCGATTTCCCTCCGTATTGCCAAAGTCCGATCAGGTTTCGCTGATCTGAGGCATCTGTGCCGTCGTCCTGTCGTTTCACTCACAGTAAAAGACACAGCCTACAATGCTTGTGTTCGCGTGGTCCTGATACACGGAAGCGAGTCCTGGCCGATCTATGTAGGTGATTTACGCCGGATTTCGGTCATTGGCAACGGTTGTCTGCGGAGAATAGCATGTGTGTGGTGGTAACACCACGATTGTAACGTCGATCTTAGACGTCGCGTCCTGGGTAATAAGAACCTTAATTTCATTAGTAACATCATTGCGCCAACTGAGTTAGATAGATCGCGTCTTACGCATGTCGTGTGAGTGTTTAACACGGCGCCCTCTATCCGCTCACGCAAGCCCGCACTGGAAGGAATAGCACGGTGACCAAACGATCAGAAGGCGATAGATAAAATGCTAAGGCGCTGACTTTCAGTCTAGCTGTTATCGACCCCGTACGAGTTCGTGGCTAGGGATTCGGAGATGTAGAACATCGCTGGTTGGAGACTCCTGAGGACATAGTGCGTACTCGGGAACAATGGAAGACTTGCATGAGTCAATGCACCGATTCTACTGATCAACACCATAATCACTAATCTGACAAAAAAAAGAAAACGGCGTGTAAAAATATAAAAACTATTCCTTATATATTTTCATTGTTCGATGTTGGTACTTATTGTGCACATTTGTCCCATGTCTATGGTATAGGCTGCTGTTTATACATATATATATATATATATATATATATATATATATATATATATATATAAGTATAGGTCCTAAAATGCTTAATGGCATAAGCTAACCTACAGTGCATTTTATTGAGCACAAAAAGCCGTTGAGAGAAAAACTGAAGTATGAGCATATATCCTTGTAGACACACACCCTACGTCATGTGTTGCGAAACCATCATAGCGGAAATTTTAGCAGCTCGGCCAGTGTATACACGTGTACATTCCTTGCAGCCTACTTTGTAAAGACAGTTAACTGTTGCTGCGGAAAGTGAGACATTTTAAAGAGATAGCGGTAGATGGATCCTCCGGTAATTTTGGAAAACCACTAATTCTTGTACTGTTTAGTGAACACCGGATCGTATGGAAATTGTATGCTGCCCGGCCGAAAACACCGCAACACCCAATTTCAGCTGCTTCAGCTACGGTTCTAGTGACTGAAGTGGCCAATGTTCGCTTCAATGTGAATCGCGGTTCATAATGAGGTTACGCGTCGCAATCCAATCACGCAGAGTACTTCCAAATGACTCTGAACTCAGGATCGCTTTTAAGTTTTCTAGTCTGTAAGACATTCATAGCGTCATAGTATACACGGTGGAAGCTTTTGCTTACAGTTGGTGTACTACCGTTAGAGTGCACAATTCGTCTAATTATTCGCTACCTCCGCGAGTGACCCATATTTCCTCTCTTCACCGGTGCACAGGGTCTGATTTTATCCCAGCAGAGGGGCTGGGAATGAAGAACACCTGAGCGCCTCATCTGTGACCAATGATGCACGAGGTACTACACTGTCGTGAACTAGACGATCAATAAAAGGTAGTAGTACCACTAAAACGTTCCAGGTTCACTGCAGTCAGTAGTTTCGGCAGTGAAGTCAAGTTGACAAAAGTTGGGCTATCAGGCCTACAGATGTGAAAAGCTTAATTGCGTTCGACCATCAGTGTCCATGCAGTTTAGTTAATAGTCGGTGGGAATCCCGCGTGACCAACGGGTGTGTTCGCCACAGGAAGGGCAACATTATTTCACGCACCAGGCTCCGATGACAGGGTAATGCGCTACGCAAGTCAACACACCGAATCTTGCGACGTGTGCCGTTTAAGTGACTAGGATCTTGATGGAAAAAAGGAGAAGAGGCTAGTCAATGTCCTGGTAAAGAGGACCGAAGGTTCGCGTTTGGAATTTGGTCGCGATACTTGTTTCCATCAGCGAAATTGTAAAGTGTCCGATGGCAATCTTGTCTCGAGTCAGCCACAAGAGACATAGGTTCGCGAGTTGCGATCTCAACTAGGTTGGTAGGCAGTACCGGCGCCACAAACTAACACTGAAGCTGAGAAAACACAACTGCGACTCACTTACTGTAGTCCACACCAAGATGAACAGTTATAGGACAATGGAATGAGACCCAACCATTGTGCGTGGATGCGGCGCCAAATGAAATAATGTTGAGAAATATGCACGTCTCATCCTAAAGGCCGTAAGCGTTCTTGCAATCTCACACTTTTTCGTGACCGTTACGAGGATCCATTCGCATGGAATACAGTTGATGACCGACGATGAGTACAGTTCTCGGCCCACCCAAATTGTTATCAGAAAGAGGTCAGTGAGCTCTACAGGTGAGTCAGATCAGGAGACTGCATAGGCTCCCACCACCTGAGACGATAGAACTAATTTCTGTTAGAATAAAACTGACCCAGTTCAAACGCTCAACCACCTGCAATAGCTTGTGATTATCACAGTCAACCTTCTCAATGTATTTGCCAGATAGAATTTGTCGAGAACAGATCTCCTGGCAATCGTATTTGCATACAAAGGCACTGTCCATCAAAAATTTGTAACATTTGGTCAGATAGCAAACAAGGAAATTTATCAGGGAATAATAGCGCGTTTGAAGGATGCCGTGCGCAGGAAGATGCCTGAACTGTCGAGGAGTCAGATTTAGATGTTGCATAATGAAATACGTCGAGTCGCGCATCATTTCATGTCGCAGATATCTAGCAAAACATCAAAATTTTGTTGAACCTAATATAGCATCTTCTCCCGACATAGCCCCGAATACACTTTGTCCTCCTTCCCAAAGTTAAAACAACATGGAAAGGATGTCATTTGCAAACCAGAGGAGATCCAGCAAAATGCGACAAGAGACCTACGCGCCATCCCATAAATTGGGTTCCTGGAGGCTTTAAAAAATGGGAGCACCGTCCCAAACGGTGAATTACCAGCCGAGGAAACTACTTTGAGGGAGATAGTGCTTGAAATGTTGTGCACTGGGCAAAATAAATGCTACAGAAAAGGTTGGTTTCTTTTTTTAACACAATGAGGCAGAAACGCATCGATCATTGATCGTGAGCACAACGTCGCAGTGCTTCAGGTGTTGGTGTATGGGGAAGAGAGCTAGGCACTGCGCACTGAGGACATGAAGGGATTGATGTGCAGTCACGAGAGCTGTCATTGTGCATACGTTTCCGTATCCACCACTAGATTCGTTCACCAGGTAAATTCGGTCGAAACGTGTCGCTTGCGAGTTGTGTTAGACCGAGAGGAACAATATTTAATATGGGGGTACTCCGAAATCAATACAAGAAGGGATAGAAGCAGTCCATACACTGATGCAAGAGGTGCAGTGAAGCATGCGGCGTTTCCTACGAAAAGCATACACGAATAATTAATACAATTCGACTACTAGTAAAATGGTGCAGAAGAAAGCATGCATAGCGCACTGACGACGAGATGGTGTTCCATGGTGAATTTACGATTTAAGGACTGCGATTAAAAGAGGAACATCAAGTAAGTGGAGTCAAGTAGTATACGCGGGACGGATTAACGAGTAAACGGAACGTGGGCAAAAGCGACACAAATTCCTCACTCGAATTCGAACCACCAGATGCCCAAAACACAATCATGCACACGAAGACAGCATTGGTGCTGCACGTGTAGAGTAGCCAAGCACATTTGTATGGTACGATTCCTGGAAAAAGGAAAGGGTAGGGATGGTTAGAAAAATGGAGTGCTCGGTTCGAGTAATGTGTAAGAAACTGTTGGCTGAGCTAGGTTTCAAGGTCTAGGAGGGAAAACGAAAGTGGATATGCTCGAGAGAGGCAGATATAGCTGCAGAACAATGGAACAGTACAATAGAAATATAATGTTCAATCCAAACGCGAGAATGGGTGGGAAACGAACGCACAATTTCGCAAGCAAACTATAACGGTTGAAGAACATCTCAGTAACAGATGCGCAAATTCGGTCGCTACTGCTGAGTGACGAAGTTCGAAATGAATTGGAATATTGGTAGCTCGGGAGGCTTGCTCAGTGATTGTGGAGTTCTCCGAGCTGGGCAACTTGGTTGCAGACGTTTCGCCACCATTCGAGGTGGCATCTTCAGTGCGCGGTGGATAGCAGTGAAGCAGCAGTAGCTGGTAGAAAGCAAACCTAATAATGGATCCATTGATCCATTGGCGAAACGTCTGCAACCAAGTTGCCCAGCTCGGAGAACTCCACAACCACTGAGTGACGAAGTATACTACCACTCGACACTCGCGTATTCAGCGGAGCATTGTTAGAACTTGGCCTATGCGGAACTACAGCCCACAGTTGATACCAGGACACGCCAGCTTCGGAAGTAAACAAAAGCTGCTCTGACCAAATTCAGACACGCTGTGAAGCCGTTACGCCAAGGACACAGTTCAATCAGACATTGGTTTGACACCGACTCCAGTAAGATAAAACAACATGAAGCAAGTGACATCGGTTCGCGCAGATGCCACATCCTTCCTTCTTCAACTTGGAATTACCCCAGCTAGCCTGGTATCAATCTACTGGTTGGCCATCTAGGTTTGAGTGGCGACAATGCGGTGTCTGCGATTGACGTATTCTGAGCGCGTCACAACTTAGAAAGCGGGCTTCTCGGTGTGTCGACTGGCGGAATGGAAATAGTGGTGATGATCATAGCCTCAGTGTTGAAAGGGTACAATGCAAACTGGAAGAGCCACTTCCGTATTTTGCCCCGTAGTTTCGTGCAATTCTCTAGACTGGCAGATCGTTTTGTTATGCAGCTACGCGTGCACAACAAACGCAAGCCTGTGAAGGAAGCAAGGATTTGTAGCAGAAATCACGCAAGCAGAAGGGAACGTACCGAGCCGCTAGCAAGCAACATGTAGCGTGATAAGAACGGATCAAGCAGCTGGTGATTTCCCAAGAATTTGCAAACGTAGTACAATTGAAACGCTCCTTAAGGCCCTCAATTGCCTTCGCAACACTACATCTTTTCCCGACTGACTGCATCCATAGTGCAATTGAATTGCTCCCTAACGCTTTGATCCGATTGAACTGGCTCATTAATGCAATTGAACTGCATCCGATATCATTACCACGCACAAAGCGCGCATCGTGACTTTGGTATCGAGCTAGCCCAAGGCAACCAATAACGATAAACTTACTAACCGTCGCATGAATGTCCGAGTCGCTGCTGTGCGGCGTTGACGCGTGGGCGGCCTAGCCTGCACTCAGCAACGGTGCCTAATCTGAAGCTAGTTCTACGCAGCTTAGGGGCACAAGGTTGTCCAAACACATGATGCGACTGGATATAATTGGACTACCAGATACGTAAAGGCATGCCTTGCAAACGGCACCAGTGGGAACTGGGAACACGGTAATGCGACATCCCAGTAGCGATCTTATAGCTGATTTTGCACTGGCGCAGCCTAAGGTTTTGGACGACCTACCAACGCTCGGGCATACGACGGTACCGTAACTGGATAGCGAGGCAGTCACAGGTGCATAGCTGCATATGACGGGGTGGTGTGACGGGCTTGCGAGTAGATCGACAAAAGGGGCCTGTGCAACCGAAATACAGGTTGGAAGGTGACCGCCTTGGATCATAGAAAGTCGTCTTGAGCGGCGGCCTACTGAGACGGATAGCGCCCAAATACAACTGTGGCCATTTTGTTACAAGGCGAGTAGGCCCTGCTTTGCTACAGCGGGCATCGCTTACCCTCACGGTGGATGCAGTTCACCGACTTGTTGGTCCGTGAATCCAATGAGACACGGCGACCGGGTTGTCGGAATTTTGCATCGACTGATCTGTACGGACCGAACGAAAGGGAAACCGACACGCAAGTCGGTGCGCATCAAATGAATTCGTATCCCGTACCCAGTTTGGTGGTATGTTCATACATGGGAGTCACTCCATCGTTGCTCGGCATCTTTATCTATCCATTTCACCGCCTCTTCTCCAGTAAAAGTACTTGACTGACAGCATATAGGTGAGCAACACCTCAGTCTCTTTCTACGGTAGTTGTACCTGTAAAGCACACAATTCTGCGAGGTCGATAACACATAATTTCCTACCAAACGGTCTGTGAACACGTAGTTCACAATCGCAGATGGCAAAGGTATATAACGGGTCAAGTAGACAACACTTGACGTTTCTTAGGATGGGCGTACTGAAGAGAGCAAGACTAAATAATGAACGCACCAACAAAATGGAGCGTGACATGGTGATTTAGCAGAGATATTTGCATGGTAGAAGGTATACGTCCAAATAGTTGCAACTAATTGCTCGCCGTAATTTGTATCTTCAGCACGAAGCGGGAAATTCCAAAACATAATTTTATACACGAAATTCCCTTTATAATTCAAAATAAGAACATCAGAAGACCAAGGTCGTGGAATTACACAGTCAAGACGACCTGCCAGCGCTCGGGTAGGTTCGGTCTGTCCGAATATCAAGACAGTCACAAGTGTATAACTGGGAATGATCGGGGTCTGGGGTGACGAAATTTCATGGCGTTCTTGTGTAAAAGGTGATCTAAGTGGCTTGCGCAACTTGTCACTGAACTCTGGGATGACAATTAGTCATTTGGGTAAGAGAAAAACATCATGGGCGGCACTCTGCTGAGAGCGCCAATGCCGTGATAAGACTGCTACATTCTTATATTTTAGGCGTGTATGTAGCGAAAGATCTGTGCACCGTAAGCCAAAAGCAGTACCCCATACCATCCAAACCAAAGTCAAGGTGAAGCACTGCACTTGCTATAAGGTGCTTGCATTGGAGGGGTGGTTAATGTGCAGGCGATCGCGATGACGTCTACTTTGATTGCTTGAGTGGTTCGTATTCCTTAAACGCTGCCCCGCTAGCAAGTAGCGGACGACTTATGATGCACCGCATACATTGACACAATTTAGGCACTGAAGAGAACGTAGTCGACCATATAGCCATCTGAAATGCTTAACAATAAGCGACAAAACATCTACTTCGCGTCCCGAGATGGATAAGTGACTTACATCTAATGCGTTGTCTTGAGTAACACACAGTGTCTGTCCTCACACGGTGATATATAACCTATGGCACTACGCAACTCCAAAATGTTTTGCAATAATGCTTAACCTAATGAGCGACAGAGTGACTATTCTTTTTCTGTGCACAGTAGTCCTCTTCGTGATACCAACTACGTGCCATCAACTCGCGACACAACAGTACGTAACAACACATGACCTCTCATCATTAGCAGCAATGTAGTCCTAATTGCCAAGAATCATCCGGATACCCTCTGGTTGTCTCGCAACGCCTAACACGAACATGCGAGAACTCTCTGTGACAGCACTTAACCTGAACACAATCGTTCATACCTGGATGTCGAATCAATGGCTTTGCGATACATGGCATTGACAACACCAGTTCGAATTATCTACATGTATGCCAACAAAATAGGAGCAATTTATATATTAGTATCATGCATTGCGCGAGCGTAATTCCTCCCCACATGATCTATCATATGCTGGCAGTGCTGAGAAGTCACGCAGGCCCGTGCCTCTGACACAATTCGCTCCATGAAACACATATACCATTCGATGTTGTAAAGTACATCCTTAGGATATTGCTGAAGCATCTCGGAATATCTCCGCCTCATAGTTTGCTTCACATGTGCTTTTAGGATGCTGTAAATGCCCCAAATCGTGTTGAGTGATGGAGAATATGGGGAAGGCACAGGAGGCTGTCCGAACGGTACGATTGCTCCTTGCAGACGCGTTCCAGATTCGTATGGCATGGCGCGTTATCACAGATCATGAGGCAGTTTTCGATAAAGCCGAATTCCTGGCATCCAACAGTCCACGCAACCACTGCGCACACCATTCTTTGTTGTAACTTCCTCTCACAATAGTATACTCTATCATGCCATCGATAGTCAGGGCTCCAATAAAATAAATGTTCCGTCCTTGAGGGTTGGGCACTTGACACAGCGCACGAGTTGTACGCGGTGAACAGCCTCTGGTGCAAGGGCAAAGGTGATCGCAATGTATTTAGTCAATTAACACCGCTCGTCTCCCTTCGACTACAGCGGTGCCTAGACACAGAATTGTCGTGAAGCGTCAGCAGTGCGCATTCCATCTGGCCCTTGTAGCGCTCGAACCCGCAACGCGATTGTTACCAGTCCGTGACTAAGACCATGAACGGATAAAACTACCGTACAGTGCTTTTTCGGGCGGGAGGGTTGTCTGAGTGAGTCTAGCTGTTAGGAATTTCTACCTTAAATCTCCCTACTACTGTTCTGTAAATATAAGATTTTGATTGCCTTTTTCTCTTTTTGTGTTCGCGGATTCCGGAACTGCGTGCAATTTCTTTATTGCTATCAGCCTCCCGTCCAAGTGTCGCGTTATGGTGCTAAGGCACACCTTAAGTATCAACGCAGCTTTCAACCGCAGGTGGTGTTTAGAGAGTGACCGTGCGTTCCGACGATACTCATTCTACCAGCCAAACAATGTGGCTTTATGCCAGAGATCTTTAGCGCCCCCACCATGCTTCGCACTTTGTTCGATCGATTATATTCATAGTAACCCACTGCGGCCGGTTTTCGGGTTGACGCTTAGTATATACGCAAGTTGCTCGCAGTTGTTTCCCTCCGCATAAGTCTTCAGTATGCTGCAGTTGACCTTCATTGCCGTGTAGGGGTGCTTGTTCGTGTCATTCTG